TTTTATGTTACATTTCATATTATATAATATTAAGCATTTATAGTTATATCTTACATATCCAGTTAATATCCTTAAAGAAGAAGGAAAGGGACATTTAGGTTGAGCAATTACAGTTACTCTGAAACCCTGTCCATGGATGTGATGAGTGAATTTACTGGAGATTTTAAGGATCAAAGGAAGGGATTAAAGAGCTCCATTGTAATACTATAAGAAAAGGACTGACAGTGGTGGGAAACTATGGGGGAGAGGGTAAGGGAGGTGGGATGAGCGGTGGTCAATATCTGTCTGGGGATGGGGAGACACCCCTTTTCAACAAGGGTGCCTAAATGAAGCATATTTGTATACCTAACCCTTAACTGTACCCCAAAATATCAAAAGAAAAAATATTGATATATGGGGAAAAAAGAGCTCCTTTTGTAACTTGGTTGAAGAACAAGATGACGTTCATTGAGTGCACCTCATAGGAAATGATGTGTGGTCCAAGACTCTTCTCTTTTAGTTTCTTCTCCTTAAATCATACTCTCCTTGTGCAGGGCTGGGCTGGGCCAGGTTGGACTCACATCTCTCTTCTGCTCTCATTCTGTTGCTCTGATTTTAAACATTGTTTCTTTGAGAAGCTGTGATCTTGTGTTCTTATAATAATGGGTGGTGCTTCTTGTCACCTTCCAGAGCAAAAGTCTTCTTTCCAATGTTTAAAAACATTTTTCCATGTTTAAATGTGCTCTGCCCACTAGAAGCAAACATTAGAATGGTGGAAGACACAGCTGACTGCAAATCTTCCCTCTTCTAGCTTTTGGCTGCAATTCTTTTGTTCATAATTTGCTATCTCTGGTTTCCTGGACCATGAAGACACCCTACCATCCTGCTCATTTACACATGAGAGGCATTCAGGTTACTTTTTCTCTTCTCCCATAAGATAATCCAGTGTGGCAGTTATTGCACCCTCCTCTTCCTTGCAAATAGCCACTGTAGAATCTTGGCCTCTAGTATTCTCTGTCTGCCATGCTTGGGTGCAAGGCCAGGCAAAATTTAGAGGAGAATAGAGAAAGAAGACCTTAATGGAGAATAGGGAGCAGGCACTGTGAGGGTGCAGGAAATAAGAGATTCATGTGGATTTTTTGAATTCTGTTGAGAAACAAGTTGACACATTCATTGTGTATTAATACAACAGGCAATACAGTATTTTTTGTGTATCCAAATTGTCCAGAAACTGCTGTGAGTTCTGTACCTGGAACAAATAATTTTAAATATACTTTTCCATTGTGTGTCATGTCCTATTAACTCATTGATGTCATTCCTTAGTATGTATGTAAGATATAAATTGCTTTTAAATGCCCTGGTTTTTCTACAAGTTGTTTTATTCTGTCATATTTTTATGGAATACAACATTATAGGACATATTGCATGTTTTTCACTTGATGATTATTTATTCCAAAGCATCATGAAGTAACAACTCATAGGTTTTGTGAAAGAAATGAAAGAGGAGTCTGTGAAAAAGACATGATAATAAGTTGTATTGTGCACCCAAGCATAAGGAACAGATGTCTGTAGTCAGTCCAGTTTGGCCAGGATTGGCGTTGTTTTTGTTCTCCTAGTTAGTGCTTTTCTTATTAACTTATCTTGTAACTGTAATAAAGTGCATTAGGACCGAGTTGCTAATCATTTATTAATATATGCACACTAAGCTGGTTTGGGGGAGGAAATGTTACATTTATTGTAAGACCTATATAATTTGGGGATGCTAGAATTATTTTTCTTGTTAGTAAACTTTAGAGATTCTGCATCAATTTTTCTAGGTACTTTTCTAGCACCAGTTTAGTAGGTAGTGTGTGATACAAGATTCCACAGTCCACAAGAAGATAAACTCCAGATTGGGACCACTAAAGACAAATATTGCATTTATGGACATATTTCCCCACGTCTTCCAATAATACTCCTAGTGCATGAAATTTTTCAATGATTGTGTGTGGGACGGTGATGATTTTTTTTAGAAGAAATTGGGACAGGTGTGGTAGTGTAGAGAGAGACTTAACCTACATGAAGTGTTTCCATTGTTTTTTTAATTCCTTTGAGGTCAGTTTTATACCTCAAACAGCCTACTCCCATGGTACTCTGCAATGTGAGACTGACAACATAAATTATCTATAAACCAGACCAGTCTCTATTTTATGTTCCCATGAAAATCAAGGGAGTCTATAACTACTACAGGTTACAGTGGGTGGTATAGGATGGGGAGGAGTATGGTAAGATAATTTCTGATAGCAGTAGAATGTTTTCATAGTAAAATATTCAATTCTATTTAAGTAATATGCTTATTATAGTCTGGCCTGTCCTGGTCCCCAGCCTCTGGAACTATTTTCTTTCCACAGTTCCAGCCACTTAACTCTAGCCTATAGTCTCAGCATCATCTTAAACTCTAAAATACATCTTCAATGTAGGAAGAAGAACCTAACGAGCTTTAGTTCAACATTCTGTACCTTAGAATGAAGTTTCACCATGACTCAAAGCCTGATTTCTTATAGTAAGGGTGTTGTCTCAGAGACCCATCCCCTATGTTTTGCATCCATCAGGATGACTGGGACTTTTCTTGGTGTAACATATCCAATCCTTCTACCACTGAGGCCCTTTCTTACTCTCTGTATAATCTCTTTTTGGTTTTATTAATGGCTGGACCCCTTTAAGCCCCTGCATGGCACCCGGGCCTTTACCAGGTCTTGGTAGATTTGTTAGTATCAACTGCTTGGCTGTTTGGTGCTCCAAATATCCTTTGCTCCTGTAATTTGCATTCCGGCATACTACATACTTCTGATGGCATTCTTCTACCTTATGTTGGACTCATTCTCATCCACAGGCCTACTCTTTATCAGTCCCTGCACTTTCTGGAAACCCTATTATGCCTAGGTTCTGCATTTTCTTGTGTCAACTTGAAAGGATAAGAAAAATAGAGTAAGAGTTGACAAGGGGTATGCTGTGTGCATGACCAGAGGATGATGACCCCGGGTGTACTTGACTCGGGCAGCTTGGCTACCCACCCAGGACAAGAAAAGTAAACCAAATGTTCTGTAAACCAGGTATTTTTGGCAGAGCATTTGGTTTATTGGGAACTGGATTCAGACCCTAGCCAAGTGCAAGTTCATGAGTACTGAGTTAATTAATTGATGCCTGCTCTGTTAGCGAGGGGGGCTCCTCTTTGTCTGAACACAGCATGGGAAAGAGCAGCAAGGGAGAGCCCGAGATTTAGATTCTTGATTGGGTGATGCTGTCTCCGGTGCTGTCCCCATCTGGGTGAAGAGAATTTCCCTGAGATAGGATTGCAGGATGGTGGTAAAGTTTTTTTCCCCTCTTTTCTTTTTTTTCCTCCTTACTAATATATATTCCTATATCTAAATAAAGTTGTTTAATTTTCTTCTGCTGGCCTGTGGCAGTGTTCTTTGAAGATTGAGCCCAATTAATATTAGACCATGCATGACAACACAGTAAGATTCCGTGCTGTCACACTACTATACCTGCGTTTATTCTTACCTCAACTTTCTTTTTGAAAAGGAAAGTGTATGTAGCTACTTATGTAGCTTTTCTAGCTTCTGATAGATTTAGGTCACACTTTGTATGTTGCCATGTTTATAAGACTTGTATCATTTGTACTTTTTGGCCACAATACACCTATTGGATATTTTCCCCACAATTCCAAAGGAGTATTTTATAAATAATGACAAATTTTAATGTGCCTAACTGTAAGTTTGCAAATTATGTTGTGCTAACTTGTTTTGTATTATCCAGTTACTAATTTCTTAATATTGACACAGTTTTAATTATGTGGAAAATTTCAAAATCTTTCTGAATCTCAATTTACACAGTTCTAAAATGGTAGTGAAGATTTCTAAATATGTGCATAATTAGAAAGTAGAATATAAAAATTATGTTAAAATCTTCTATCCTAATAACTTACAATTGAATCTGGAATTTAGTACTCTATTTTGCCTTTAGAACTACAGTCATGCTGTCCTTAGCTGTTCCACTTGTAGCAGAACTCACAGTTTTTCTTGCAAAACAGATCTTTATGGATACTGTGTGGAAATGTTGAATGTGAGCTCCACTCTTAGTTATTTTTTTGGTATTTGCTCTTATGTAAATACATGCTGTCCACCTCTAGCATGATATCTAGTGTGTGATAGTATTCCAGGAAAGTTTGGTTGTAATAGGGGTGTATTGATTAAATTTTATATATACGTTAGGCAGAATGTTCCAAAGTTATAAGTTTGTATAACTTTTTACTGCATAAACTTTACTTTCAGGAATTTAGATATAGTTGTAGGTAGTATAAGAATATTCATATGACAGCAATGTGTGATTTGTTTTTTTAATTTAAAAAAGTACCCCTGAATACAACTAAAGATTCATCAATATTGAACTGCTTAAATAAATTATATTATTTTAAATTATGTTACTTATAATTTATTAAATGCTCTACAGCTATTAAAAAATAGAAATGATGTACGCGTAAATTGGGAAAGATTGTTAAAGCGAGCCCTCATCTCTACAATAAATCAAAAAATCAGCTGGGCCTGGTAGCGCGTGCCTGTAATTCCGGCTACTCGGAAGGCTGAGGCGGAAGGATCGCCGGAGCCCAGCGGGGGAGGCTGCGGTGGCCG